AAAATCAACAAACTTAAAATAAAAAATACACTTATATACAAACTATACACTATGTACAAAAATTACGGGAACGAAACTTTAAAGAACATTTAACTTTTCCTTTGAATTCAAAGAAATCACGACCCTCCACAGCGGGTGAAATTTAAAATTATTTCCAAATTAAAATCAACAAACTTAAAATAAAAATACACTTATATACAAATTATACACTATGTACAAAAATTACGGGAACGAAACTTTAAAGAACATTTAACTTTTCCTTTGAATTCAAAGAAATCACGACCCTCCACAGCAGGTGAAATTTAAAATTATTTCCAAATTAAAATCAACAAACTTAAAATAAAAATACACTTATATACAAATTATACACTATGTCTCAGTAGAAAAAGTTATGACATAAGTTTCGTTCCCGTCAGTACAATTTACAATTTACGTCAGTACGAGAACGAAACTTATGTCATAACTTTTTCTTTGAATGTAAAGAAACCACGTCTCTCCACAGTGGGTGCACTTAAAATTTGGACTATGTCTGTTAATGGCACGTCATTGTCGAAGTCTTCTTCTTCAGGCCATACAAATTTGTTTCCTCTTCTGCTAAGATATTTGATTCCGGCTTTGTCGTTTTTGATTGATTTTATTTGGCTAGGATAATAATCTTGTTTCCCTTCCACATCATAAGGGACGACGACCCAGCTGTTGACCATAAGATTTTCAAGGTCCTTGGGGGCTACAACAACGGGAATTTCTTCGTCCTGGGAGTCACTATCGCTGTCATCGGGTGCTGTTGTCGGCCGTTTATTGCTATTTCCTTCTTGTTTGATCGTTCTCTTTACTTCACGTATCATTCGCCGCCGTTCCTTTTCTTCTTCCTTTTCCCTCTTCTTGGCTTCTCTTGCCTCCATGTATTGTCGGTAGGTTTCTCCCGTAATCGCAGCTGGTGTTGGGTCTCTTTTCTTGACTTTTTTCTTGATGGATGTCGGGGAGGGATACTGCAGGAACCTTTTAAAAGGTGATGGCATACTATTGGATGTGCAGCATTTTGATGGAGTGGTGTAAGCTGGTAGGGGCATTCCTGAAATCAAAAAGAAAAAACATAACACTTCAAATAAGCATCTTAATGTAAAAAAAAATACTATGAGTTGATAATAGAAAGATATGAATGTTTAACTTAATCACCTCGTTGCGTTGGTCTAAAGTATGTCTAATGAATAAATCCTCTAAGTTACCTGCAGAGCTCGTAGTTTCTGTTTGGCTGCATGATGGCTGGTTGGTCTCAGATGGGAGATCACGTAGCAATTCAGGATCAGGCTGCTCAGGAACATTGTTTTCAGGCATGCTCTCCAAAATATCAGTGACAGACACCTGCAACAATAGGCATGTTTAACCATAATAACTTGGATAATAAAAAATATTTCACTATAATGAACACAGGTGGTTGATATGAATTTCTAACAGTGGTATTTAAGGGTTGCTGTTAAGATGCAACCACCAACCATTGCCTTGCATGTTGGTGATGAAGTGCTGCCCCGACAACGTGCCACCACGACAACCCCCAAATCGGATAAATGTGTGGTGTCAGGCTGTCGTGATGGTACGTTGTTGGGGTGGTACCTTTATGTGCTCACCGTTTTCAACCGTGTAGGATATCTTAACTTTACTTAATTTGTTTTAAGTTGCAGCACAAATGTTAAAATGAGTCTTGCATTTTTTACTTATTTTTACTGTGTAATGTAACTTAATCAAACTATTAAACGGGACCTACCTCGATTGATATGCCTTGGTCTGCGTTGGTAAATCCTAGGCTGTCAATGATGTTCTGCAGACCCTGTTCGTCCACGGAAGAGTTGCCGTCTGCAATTATCCGGCCCTCGACGATTCCGGACTGGTCACTTCCGTCTTCATGAAGGTCGATTGGAAAGTCCAGCACGTCGTCCACAATTTCTTCTTCAGCAGGTGTTAGGGCTGGTGGCCGTTTAGGATCCGGAGTTGAAGTAGTAGAAGGGTCAAATGGAGGTTCGTTTTCCTTCTCCGACGCTGATATTTCACATTTTAGGGTGGCAAGCTCATTTTTGATGGAATTCCATACTTGGAATAGTGACTGGTCTTCTACTTCAATTTCTCCGCGGGCAAACTTCTGGACTTTCTCAAGTCCCATCTTAACCTCGAAATAGCTCAGATGAGCTCGGATTTCTTCGGCCTTTCGTTTAAGGTTATTTGTCTTAGCAGGTGTATTAGTTTTTTTGAGGATGAGGTTGTAGTGAACTTTTTCCGGGTCAAGGGTATCCAGACCAGTGGCCTTAAACCCATTCACTACAACCTTCGCATCCAAACTGTCCAAAACTGTTTTCAGAAGAGGTGAAAACTCTTCTCGCTTCATCCACCTTCCATCATGTTTGAACCGCCAGTCATTAACACAGGTCTTCCACTGTGTTTTTAGTGGCCGAAACACGGCTACATCAAGGGGCTGTAGGAGATGCGTGGAATTTGGATAAAGGGCTATTACCTCTATGTCATTCTGCGAACAGTATGTTGAGAGATGGAAGCTCATGTGTGAGGTGTGCCCATCGATGAACAAAACAATTGGAAAATCAATGTTTTTCGATTGAAGCCAAGGATGGAAAATGTTCGCAATGTACTCGTAGAATGTTTCTCGAGTCATCCACCCATTCTCCGATTTGCCTAGTCCCCAATCGGCAGGGAAAGTTCTGACAATGGCAGGGGGCACTCTTTCGTATTTAAAAACTACCATTGGTGGGGCCACCTCTCCTGCGGCATTGGCATTTACCAGCACTGTCAAACACTCCTTTTCATCGTTGCCAGTTTGCTGGTAAACCGCCTTTTCACCTTTTCTGGCGAGGACTGTTTTTCCTTTAGGGCATAGAAAAAACGCCGTTTCGTCGGCGTTGAAAATTCGACGAGGATCAAGGAAGATGTTGATTAGTCCTTTAGACTCTAGGTAGCTTTTGACCTCGCCGAACCATGCCCGGATGTCTCCCTCTGTGACATTGGCACGAGATGATATTAATGCCTGAGAGACTCTTTTTGCGATCTCGGGATGGCGGCCAAGGAATAAGTTGAACCACTTGTCACCAGGGACATTGTTTTTGAACGGCGTTGGTCTGTTCAGGTCTTTGATGAGCCGGGCAACACTTTCAACGAGCTGGTCTTTCGTGACTGGAAATCCAGCTTTGGCCACGTCCAATGCCCACTGTACAATGTAGCGTTCTTCTTCATCAGATAAAACAGCTGGACGGCCGATCGGGGCGTTCTCCTTGTATTTTCCTTTCAGCTTGTCATACAAAGTAGTCTTTGGGACTTCATACGCTCTCGCTGCCGCGGATATGGAGTACCCCTCATTCTTGACGGCATCCAAAGCCTTTTCAACGTCTTCTTGCGTGTATCTTTGTTTGGATATCGGTCGGCTTGGAGGAGGCATCTTCCTGCGAACCACAAAATTTGTATAGATACAAGTAGCCTACACATAAAAAAACATTAAATAATACTTTACTTTAAATAAATTGTTTAATGAGGTACTGCTACTGAGTATATTAATAAACAAAACCTAAAATAATGCACAAATAATGTTGTCTAACTTAACTGGAACTTAGGCGATGTCAAAATTGTTATATTGGAATTCATTCTTTAAAAACGGTCAATTGTAAGCAAATGTTGGACAATTACAAAGTTTTTTTCTATCCTTGAAATATGTTGCAAGCTTTAGAATAAATTATTTTCACTAAAATACAATATTTGGTTACTTATTTCAATCATTAAGTGAGCCGTTCGGAATTGGGAATTACCAGACGCCTAAGTCCCGAACGATCGTTCGGATTTGGGCAAACCAAGCTTTTGGCTTGCCTAATTCCGAACGGCTTATAATTAATAATTAAATCAATACTTCTATAATGTATTGGCACTTAAAAATAGCTTTAATGCATCCTGAATAGTTTAAAACAAAGAAATATGTAAATGGTTTAGTTTAAGTAATGAAAAAACCTTATCTCACTTACCTTACGTCTTAGACGAAATCGCAGCGTCACTCCCGCCAAACTTCGAAACTCGTAACGGTCAACTAATCCACAGCCTTCTGAATCTACGCTTCAAATGTTTCAAAACGGAGTGAAGTTGATTTTTATAGATCGAAAAACGCTGAATACGGTGGCAATCGTAGTTTAAACCGTAGTGGACTGAAATTCTTAATATTTCGTTTTGAATAAATTTCGTTCGGATTTGGGCAGTCGTTCGGCGTTTGGGCAGTTTACCTTAACCTAACCAAACCTAACCTTACCTAACCTAACCTAACCAAACCTTACCTAACCTAAACAAACATACCCTAACCAAACCAAACTTAACCTAACCTAACCTAACCTAACCAAACCAAACGTAACCTAACCTAACTTGATCAAACTTAACCTAACCTAAACTAACATAACCTAAACTAACTTAACCTAACATAACTTAACCTAACATAACTTAACCTAACCTAACCTAACCAATCCTAACCCAAAATAAAGCCCGCATTCTACAATGGCTTAGAGTCACCTGCAATGCTATCGCCACGCGGCAGTAGCCTACATAAGTAGCCAGCGCGGTCGCTTTTCCGGTGATATTTTACTTAATAGTGGTCCGATCGTAATAAAACTTACATATTCTTGTCCAGGAGGAAATTCCGCTCAATTTGAGTACCCACAACATGGGTTATGGGCAAAAAATTATTTTTCCCGTTTTTCCCATTTTCCGGGAAAACGGGACGTTTCCGCAAAAAATGTATATCATTTTTGGAATCAGCATTAAAAAACGAACAGATTTAAAAAAAAAAATTAATTTTTAGAGCGTTGACTGGAGGTCGACATAGGCCTAATTACCAAATATATGATAAATTTAAACAGAATTAACATTCTAGAAAGATGTTCACATTGAACACATTTATTTTGTTAGGGCAGTATGAGTATTAAGCTATGTACAAGGTAACAGCTAAATGGAAAAGAAGCTTGACTTACCTAGGCTGATTCCAAGGTCTATGACACTAATTTTTTGTGGCAATGTGGGCATCTCCAGCGCAGTTCTGATACGATAACTGTTGGACAGCTCCTTGGCAACTTGCGTCCCATGGTCCATCAAAGTCTACAACATTATACCATGTAGCAAAGATCACTATATTTATTTATTTATTTGTTGCCAACGGATTTCACCAATTTACAATAATGAATTACAATAAATTGTGAGTTACTCATCATGACTAAATAAACTAAAACTAAGTAACAATGCAAAACTAATTAACAATACAATAAGGATACATGCCAAATCTAAGACAGTAAAAAAAACTACTTAATACCTAGTAACAAGACATAAATATTACAGACATAAATATTACAAGACATAATTGAATAAATAGTACAAAAAGTTCAAGTCTAAGAAATATGTACATAACAAAGGCAAGTGAGACTAACCTAGGAAATAATATAACAATAAATATAATTGATTTGAGACTACTGTAACAAACTTATCACTTTCAAGTTAGTTAGTTTCCAGTGGCAGTTCTAGGATATTGTCAGGGAGGGACCTATCTGGGTGATCCACACCAGGAGGGGGGGGGGGTCTTTTTAATGCCACTTTTAAAGTATAGAACAGTGTCCAAAAATCTGTGTTACATATTTATACCTAAATGTATGTTGAAATTTGTTCTTCCAGGGTTCAATGGGGGGGCTCCATTTCAAGTTATTACATTAATGATATTGTATGGGCCTATATTACAAACAATTTGTATGACTATACCATTATTCACTAGTTGTTCTGCCCGAGCTTCACATCAGGGGCCCATTTCATAATAAACTACAAGTTACAACTTGTAACTTGTAATTTCCATAAGATTTGCATTGGGCGATCAGCTGATTTACTAATAATATTAGTTTGTACTTTATTATGAAATGGGCCCCAGGGCAAGAATACTTGAGAGAATGATGTGGGTCTCTAAATCTACTCTAAAATACCCCCGCCGCAGCAAACCTGCAGACTAAGCGAATTTCCATTAACCTGATTGGATTTACACTAAAATGCCTCCACAAAAATAGCACATTTATTTCCTATTTAAATAGAATTAGTTTAACGAGTACTTAGGTTTGCTGCAACAGGGAGGGTAAAAAAGATTTTTTTTATAAAATTATAATAGTTTAGTAAGAAATAAAAGTATTTTCCAAAATCGATCAAAATATGTTCATAAACAAGCAAACTACAACAGTTGAATTATTCTCCATAAGAATAACATGGGAATTTTAAAATTACAATTTTTTTGAATTTTCTCCGTAACAATTAGGCGCATAATAACGCTTCAATATACTAAATTATTTGTTTTTTTAAGCTCTACAAAATGGTTTAAAAAGAAATTGTGAAATTTTATGTTTTTCGGGTCAAAAATGGGAAAAACCTATTTTTACCCCATAAAACCCCCCATAAACCCCCGTTCCCATAGTCCGATCATGCTGGTTCGCGAACTCATTCAAGTTTATCCCGCCTTACACCTTCAAACCAAATTTTATCAAAATCGGACAAAAATTACTCAAGTTATCGTGCGGATGGACACATATATAAGGTAAATGCCCCAAATACCAACACCCTAAGACTCAATTCAAGTTTACATCTGCAAATAAATAATTATAGGTTATGTTAAGCTTGAGTATTATGGAGTTAATAATTTTGCCATGATATAAACTCTCAGATTACATAAATAGATAAAAGAAAAACATCCAATTAACAGTTTTTAAGCATCTTAAAGTTGGGGAAACACTCTTTGTACTTTTCTGGAAATACCGACAGCAATGAAACAAAATACCGACACCTCATGTCCTAAATACCAACATTATCATTTTAACACCAATTTAAGAGAGAACAGGAACATTATCATCATAATAAAGTATTTTTATTGAAGTTTGTGTATTCATTTAACCTATTCCACAACTTTATTTCAATATTTTGTCCCTATCCATCCCAAAAAGTAAAAGTTAAGACTTGAACATTCTCCAACTTACGGTAACTATGGTAACTTACTTCCCAATTTTATTGAAAACCACTTAGACAAAGTACGTAAAAATTTGTTTATGTTTGGCAAATGTAAATTAAGTAGTCTCTGTATTAATTATGTGCGAAATTGTAAACATATATCGACATCTGATGAAAATTCACTACGATGTAAGAGCAGCAGCAGCAGCCGACGCGACTGACGCTGGCAATGCTGTCTACAGCTGGAGCTGCCTACTTGATAAGCTGTTACGCAAGTTTCTGTGTTTAACTTATTCAATTATAGTACTGTATGACTTCTTTGGTAAAATATAATTCCAATAAAACTGGAACAAGTAAGTATTTAATGAAACATGAAAAAGTAACTTAAAACCATTGACGTATTTAAGTTTACATTTTGGATTGGCCTACCCTTAGTATTAAGATATTATTTACAAAAACATACAGAAAATACAAATACATACATATACAGAAATACAGCTACAGAAGTACAGTTACAGAAATATACACAGACAAATAGAAGAACAAATACAAATAGAAAATATAAAAATAAAACACGCACACACACACACAGATCTTAGAATGCTTTAAAATATTGTACAAATGTTAAAATACTCAAGCAAACACACACACTCTCTATCTCTTACAACTGAAATCTATAATGTCCACGCCGATCAAAAATTGGTTCACTTAAAATTGTGACAATTTCGTCGAGAGGAACCTCGTCGACGTCGTCATTCTCTGGCCAAACGAATGTATCTCCTACTTGGGCAAGAAATTGTATATTGCCAGTCTTCTCCTCGCCGTTGACATCAAGTAGCTGGCCTATGTACCGCTTGGTGCCATATGGAACAATCACCCACTTCCCAACACTAAAGTCCTCGAAGCAGAGCTTCGGATTCACAGGCACCTTGTCGATGTTGAATGCACTTGGTGCCATTGATACATCCAATCCTAGATCTTCGGAGTCGGACGAAAGTGGGGAAACATCTTCCTTTTCAGTCTTTTTTCTAGGCCCACTGACCTTTTCTTTTTTAATTTTCATGGCCACTTTTTTCATTTCTTGTTTTTCTCTTCTTTTTTGTCTTCTTTCTTCCATTTCCTTTTCTTTTTTTTCTTTTTCAGCCACCAATGTCTTTCGGTACTCCTTCCATTTTATACATGTTATTACTGAAGGGACTTTTGCCGTTTTTGTCCTCCTTTTAATCCCAGATTCCTTTTTGGGCCCAGGCCAAAATACGCAGTCTTTGAAGGGCGACGGAATACTGCTTGTGTCCTCTTGGACAGCAGATGTAGATGGCTGGGCGTCTTCTTGAACAGATGTCGATGGCCGAGATGTAGGGGTAACTGCCCTGGCACATGTTACAGGTGGGGTCGATCCAATGTTGGCAGGGATTTGTTGAACAGGTTCGGACACCACGGTAACAGGGAGATCGAGTTCCAAACCCATTGATACATCCAATCCTAGATCTTCAAAAAGTCCCTCGTCCACAAATATTTCTTCCTCTAATTCAATATTTGATGAACAATCGATGAGGACGTTTGGCTCTTGTTGGATTGTTGTGGGCATCATTGGATCTGGATCATCTGGGTCGTCTGGGTCGTTGCAGACAACCTCTTCCATATCCATGCGGGTACTATTTACAAAATCAAGAGGTCGATGTTCCTCAACAGAGTTTGTAGTTTTGTTAGAATCACTACAATTACTTTGGTCAATGCTCGTTTTAAGGTCTTGCCGAATGCTCCTCCACACTTCATACAGCGATTCATCACGACGCTTTATAGGTCCACCATGTCTAAACGCCTTTAACCTGTCATGGCCTATTTTCTTCTCAAGATGAGCGAGGCAGATGTTTACTCTCTCGGTTTCTACATTAGACTGTTGTGTTAGGGGTTTTGGGTTTTGGGCCAAGTTACCTACAATTTTGGTCATGTCAATGTCATTGACATCTAACGTAACTAGACCGCATGTTTTAAAACCATTCTGAATGGTTTCTGGCTTGATTGTCCTTTCAATCACTGACTGCAGCATCGGAGGAAAGTCTTCTTTCTTTAGCTTTTGTGAGGAGTGGTCAAACCTCCATTGGGACACTGCTTTTTTCCACGCATTTTTCAGTGGGTGGAAAACCGCGACGTCTAGAGGCTGCAGCAGATGTGTAGCATTGGGCAAAAGGGCGACAAGTTCAATCTTCTTTGAGGTACAAAACTCACTAAGCTCAAGAGACAGATGTGATACGTGGCCATCCATGAACATTATCACAGGTCTCGGAATATTATTTGCAGTTAGGTAAGGTTCAAAAGTGTTGGCCATGTATTCAAAAAAAGCTTCAGATGTCATCCAACCTGATTCACTCTTCCCCAAACCCCACCCATCTGGCACAGCCATCCCTACTTGCAAAGGGATTCTCTCGTAAGCGTATAGAATCATTGGTGGTGCTACCTCCCCATCTGCTCTCACAGTCATTAGAACTGTGACGTTTTCCTTGTCTGTGTTTCCAGATATGTTGTACACACTTCGGTCCCCTCTGGCTGCAATAACTTTCCCCGTTTTGGGACTTAAAAAGAATGCAGTTTCGTCGCAGTTAAAAACCCGACGAAGGTCTTGGAATATGTCCATCAAATCGTTTTCTTGGCAGTAGGTCTTCACTTCGGCACACCAAGAGGCCACACTTTCTTGAGTGATGGCAGCTCTGGAAGTTGTCAGAGTCTGGCACTCCCGGACTGCCAGATTCTTGTGGCGGCCCATAAACAATTCGTACCAACGTCTACCAGGCTTTTGATTGACAAATGGGTTCGGCTTTCCTGATTTGGCAAGCATGCGACCAGCACTGAATATAAGTTGCTCTTTAGTGACTGGAAAGCCTTTTGTTTTACAAGCCAGAACCCATTGGACCAAAACTTCCTCTTCGACGTCTGACAGAAGAGGTTTTCTCCCCAGCTTGCACTTCTCTTCATAGCGGCCGTTGATCTTGTCAAGAAGGGTCACTCGAGGAACACCGAAACGTTTGGCCGCCGACGAAGTTGTCTCCACACCACTTCTTACAGCCAGAATGGCATTTTGCATGTCCTCGTCTGCATATTGCTTCCTTTTTTTCGGGGGTGGCGTTTTCGCTGGAGGCATTCTAAAAAATAAAAATAAAACGTGATTAGAAAAAGGACAAAAACGACTAAGACCACAGCATATTAAAATGCTATACATGATTATAAATATGAAATACGATAGCAAAACATGTTTTAAAGTCAAGTGTCGGTATTTTTTTTCGTAAATTATTCATGAAAATAATACCGACAACGCCATGTCGGTATTTGGCAAAATGACGAAAACTTGCTCTGAATACCGACACCGGCCAAAAAATTACAAGAAACCGTTAAAAGCAAGATTTGAATTACACATTTAAAAACCTAAGTATCTAGATTCACATAAATATTAAAGTTAATACTAACACATATATGACAAATTACTTATTCGCTAAAGCAAATCCCAATGTTCGTAGTGAAAACCTGTAAGATTCTTACCTGAAATCACCGTAGTCGTGCACCGGCAGACGAAACTTGTCATAACGAACTCAGAAAAGGAGGGAACTCATATCTTCTTCTTCTTACTTGTAGAAAAAAACATCGCAAACGCATCTGGCTTACAATATAGCCGGTAGAGACGACAAGGACATTATGTTTTGTTATGAAATGTGGCTGTGTCGGTATTTAGTACATTGTCGGTATTTGGGGCACTTACCTTATATATATATATATATATAGATATATAAAAATTTGAACGAATGGTGTTTTTGGCCTCTGGGGACATCAAAATGAAAAAGTAAATCGGTCCCGGGCTTAGGTCTTACCATGAGACCTACGGTAATAGCTACTTCCCTATAGGGAAATTCGCTAAAAACAGTTTCACTCAACACCCTTACCATGCAAATTATACAGCCAAATTTCAATCACTTGTGCATTTGAACTAAACTGTGTGGTGGAATCAAAACTAATAACTTAAGATCCATAGGCCTTATGACAATCAAAAGATTAACTCAGGGAAAAGTAAACAAACAAACTACAAATGAAAACAAATCTAAAAGCTATAAAAATTACTCCCACTTCTTCTCGTTTTCAGTTTAAATGGGTAGCCTAGTCTAGAAGGCAGATCTAACTTAACTAAAACCTATTTGATAAAGTTTATGATTTTGATTTATGAAAAAAAGGCTGCACTTTAGTTTACACATTCACTCCACTCGATTGAAATTTTTGATTAGGCCTAAAACTATTGATATAACTTAGGCCTATCGATTAATTTATTTGATTGTAAATATCCGATCCATATATTCCTTCTGTTTTATTATCTTTACACTTTTTTTTAAGCACATTTAAATTACTAATTGACAACTGATCTTGTTCAGGCAAAAACAGCCTATAAGTTAGAAGCTATATGGATGAAATTGCTTTAAACTAACCTAACATAACTAACTAAACTTGCTGTATCATTTCAAAACCCTGTTTAGAAACAGAAAAAGCATGTGTGAGGATATCAATCGTAATTTTGAAATGTTACAGCTTTGAAATATTACAGCAAGTTTGGTTAGTTAGGTTAGTTTAGAACAGTTTCACTTCAATATACTATAACTTTTGTCAAAATAGGCTACTTCAATATTAGTTAGACATAAAACAAGGAAACAATAAAAAAATAAAGTAAAATCAATAAAATAATAGATTGAACAATCAAATGTAATAATCAATATATCGATAGTAATCGAATGAATGTGTCCGGTGCGTAAACTAAGTGCAACTGAAAAAAGGACAGCATAGCTTATAAGTATACCGTACTCTAAAACTGATTAGAAGTTAAATGTGATCACACATTATCATTAGAGCAGACATTTTGCATTGTAAATCCCATTAGACCCACAGTGATAATCCCTTAACTTAGAATGGTAATGAAAACAACAATATAAAATCTATGATCAAGTCTTTTAAATCTAAGGCACATACCTGAAAACTTTTAAGTAACTGGAGCCTTTTATTTGAAACTTTTAACATTCTGGCAAAGACATCTAAGTCACCGAATTCAACTCCTAACAAGCACAGACGTTTTTCTCTATAAAACTGGAAACAAACAAATATCAACAGGCAATGTGTTACAACTATATTTTCTATTAAGTTAGGCCTAAAAGTTACTATTAGTTTAGCTAGCTTGATTGAATATAAGTTTTAACAGCATATTTTTTTATACAACATAGAATAGGCCTAACTTATGAAGTTAGCCTCCTTTCATACGTAGCTTTAACCTAAGTTATAAAAAATGTGTAAACTTAGGCCTAAAAAGGAAAGGCAGAAATTATGCGTCCGGTAACCAGACATTGATTAGGCGTCCGGTAGTTAGGCCTACTGTCATAACCTAACCTAACTAACCAAACTTGCTGATAATGAATAGGTACATGAAATAAAGGATATAATTCTGTCCATAAAATAAAATTAAATGCCTCAAATTCTAACAAAATATATAGGACCTACAGTTAACAAGAAATGGCATTCTAAGCAAAATCTTTGACAAAAAGTAAGTGTCACCGATGGGATTCGATCTCGGCCTATAGATAGGCTAGACCTCTTGTAAGTTACAGTAGCCTACATCAACCAGTTTCTTACACTAAGTTATCTACTACACCACGAACACCGATGGCTGAACATTGTATCGTTGAGGTAATGGTGTTCCAGGCCCCCACAACCCGGTAACGTCACTGCCGGAAGCCTAATCCACTTTTAGTTACCTGACGTGTATCCTCTGCGAAAAGGAAAACTAACCTCGTGTAGGTCTACCTTAAATGACTTCATTATGTTAGTAACTTAGGTTCTTACTCATAGTGGCATGTTCAATGAAGGAATCCAACTTGGTGAACTCTTTTTAAGAGAAAACCAAACTCCTTAAATCTTTTTCCCTTGGTTAAATAAATCATATTAACTTAACTTAAGTAGGCTAATATCCTTGCAATAGGAACTTCAACTAGGCCTAACTTAAGTTAGGCCTAGCCTAGGTTTTTCCAATGCTTAGGCCTAAATCAAGATAGTAAATAAAACTTACCATATAATAGACATCAAACAGCATATTTTCTGGTAATATTTTAAAATCTGGATCATTTTTGAAGCAGTTGTAAAAGTCCATTATGGACCTAATGCTAATGTCATATAATGATAATACAGGTACTGGATTCGACATTTTGTCGTTAATTTTAAAACTTAACTAAATAGAAATAAGACACAAAGACACGACAATTGTGTTGTAACGAAAATCAAAACACTTCAACAAATCTTCATCTTGTAGCAGCTGCTGTGTTCGAGGTTAAAATTGATGGTTCTTGCTATCAACTTATAAAATGATGAGCCTGAACAGTGATCCCTTGATTCCTATCGCCTATCTCACTTGCATGGCATGAAAAAACCTGACATCGACATCACTGTCAAGATCGAGGACATTCCCGTTCCTTTCCTTTCGTGATATTTCAATTTTCTGACATTGTGATTGTCTCTCCTTAAATGTATGTATGTTTGTATTATCTGATCTTTATCTATCTATATCTTTTATCTTTGTGTTTGGCTTTGGCAGGCAACTAGGAAAACTTGGGTCTTCCTTCACAGTCTTCAGCGAAGCGAACTACCACTCTACTCCTACTGACTGACTAGTGACTGACTGACTGGTTTGGTTTTTGTTTTTGCTTTCTGCTGCAGCTCAGCTGCATATTACTAGTTTATCTTGTCGTCATTGAATATTGTCTGTCACTCCACTCTTTCAGTGTCAGTCTCAGTCAGTTACTCAGACTCAGTTCAGTTCTCTTCTCCTCAGTTTGGTTTGAGCTTTTGTGATTGATTGTGCTGGACCGGAGTCACAATCATCCGGTCCGGATGGAGACGGACGGTCACTGGTAGTGGTCACTGAACACTGAGGGGTCTGACTTAGAGCCTTATTATGCGCGGCCACTCGAGTGGCGCGCGACCGCGACTGCTCAAAGCCCACTTTTAGCGGGCCATGTTATCATATGGAGCTTATTAAGCAACGCGACTGCGGTGGCGAGGCACGCGACAGTCGCCGCGACTGGCCACTCCAGTCGCGCACCCTCGCTACTAGTCGCGAGCCCACGCGACTGTCGCACCACCAGCGGGCCATGTTATCATATGCTGTTTATTACGCGCAGCCACAGTCGCGGGCCACAGCGGACCCTACTCTCTGCCCTCGCCTCAGTCCTGATTTTTGTTACAGCATTTTATTATATTAATTATATTATCTATATATTTATAAATATTGGTTTTCTTTTCCGAGTTGGTTCGGCTCTTCTACCTGACCGATTTTCATAATATTAGTTTTAAATTAAAGGTATTCACGAACAGATTTGCCACCAATCATCATCATTCATGTCTCTACTGTATTACTCAACCAAAAAAATAAATCCGATTTTTTTAAATTCTTTCTTCAATTAAAGCCTCTCACCAGTTCTGATTACATCATCCTATATGTTTTGCTCTAAGAACATTCAGTAAAATGCCAGCTTCAATTTTGAGCTATTAATTATTAAGATCGGTCGTACGTGAAGCACGCTACTGAATCACTAATCAACAATAATAATTATTATTTTAACACTTATCTGCAATCAATGATACGTAACTCCATTTGTAGTTATTTTACATGTCTTAGTCCTAAAAAAGGACTATCCCTCAAAACAAAGGCTTTTATTTGAGATGTTGCCCTTTTGAATCAGTTAAGTTCAAGATACTGTCTGTATTACTCAATTATTACCATTATTGTGAATACTATAGATCCAGGCAACGCCGAGTTTTGATGCTAATATTGTATTAATATTATGATTAAATCAAGTCAAAACCATTATAATATTTAATTTAAGGTAAGTGCTTGCCTCTCCTTAGCTGAAATAAAATTATTCATTTTATTATGCGATACGGATAAGTCGCCTTATATTCTTCCTAAAAGGTTATAAAAAGAACGTCTCGTCTCCCGGAAACAATCAAAATACATCTTTGTATAAAACATAAAATACATAAAATACATATTGTATGGAACACAATAAATGAAGAGAGGAATAAAATACAAGATACACCACAAGAGAACTACAAACTACTACATAACAATAAAATAGTCACTGATCCGTATCACATAAGCAACATCTTTAACAACACGTTTCTAGGACCTACGACATCATAACAAAGTCTAAATCACACAGCTGAAGACCCAACAGATATTGACACCACTCCTCTGGACAGTTTCAATACAATTACAACCCCTGAACTCGAAAAAATTCTTTCCAAGCTCAACTCAACAAACTCTGCCGGCTTTGACGATATAACGGGAAAAATAGTAAATATTGTACTGACGATATAAAAGAACCACTCTTACACTTAATAAACACATCAATCCTGCAAGCAGAAGTCCCATCCAAACTCAAAGTAGCCAGCAAGATAATTCCTTAAATTTAAAGCAGGTGACAAAATGAACCCAGTTAACTACCAACTCATAGCAAACTTACCCACTCTCTCAAAAGCACTGGAAAGAGCTATACACAATCAAATTATTGCACACCTGGAAAGAAATAACATAATCACGTCATGCCAACATGGATTCAGGAAAAAACTTAGTACCACAACAGCCATAGCAGACCTTTGTAACAAAATTGTGGAAATCTGGGAAGAAAAACAAACGGCCACTGGCATATTCATCGATCTGCAGAAAGCATTTGACTCCTTAGACTGGAAAATACTTATACAAAAATTAGAAAAATACAAAATACAAAATCAAGCCCTAAAATGGATCAAAAGCTATCTTACCGACAGAACTCAATATACACAGAAATAAATCATTACAGCCTCAAATCAATCAATATAGTAAAATCATCAATCAAACAAGTGACAAGAGGTGTACCACAGGGCTCAATACTGGGACCTTTACTGTTCCTCATATACATAAACGACTTCCCAGACAAACTAGACAGCACCCAAAAATGTCTGCTCTTTGCAGATGACACTACAATAATAACCCCAACTGTGAGAAATGGAAATAGAAACCGGCGCATCATCAACTCAACAATAGATCAAGTAACAACCATCTGTAACAACCTACAACTAACAATAAATAACAAAAAAACTTTGCATATCAACTTCACCCCCACATGCACAAAAAATCCTGAAACCACCTCTGCAAGAAGCTCTCGAAGTCATTGTTTGGAATAAGAAGCATAACAGATGAAGAAACAGCCCTTATGGCATATCATGCACTGTTTGCCAGTCACATTAGATACATCATTGTGGCTTGGGGATCTTCAGCACAGAACAAATTAGACCAACTACTCGTGATCCAGAAGAAAGCCATTAGAACAATATTCCGGAAAAATTACCAAGAACACTGCAAGCCACTCTTCAAGAACCACAAGATCCTGACCATCACATCCACGTTATACATCCATAACCATAATCCTCATAGTAAATTCAAATCCAATCCTTCGATCCAGTCAACACAACCACAACACCCGCAACAAAAATAACATTCACCTTCCACGCCACAGACTAAACAAAACCAGTAAATCACCATCTCACTCAGGATCATCCCTCTACAATCTCCTGTCACAACACATAAAAAAATTAACAAGCCAAAAATCTTCATAAAGTCACTAAAAGAGTACTTCAGTCAGCCCCTACTACTCACTATCAGAATACACTGAAGAACATACACACCAACACCTTAAATAGGGCCCATCAAAGCTAATTCAATCAAATATTGACGATTTCCCAATCACCAGATTGTGGAGAAGACATCGAAGGTAAAAGGTAAGGTAAAAGGTAAAAAGGTAAAACCGCTGGTCTGTCCGCTGCCTTCTTTCTAAGCCATTATAGTCCAGGAATTTTAGGGATTCAAATGCCATTCGACCTAACAAATTCGAACTACCTAGAAATTTTGCACAGCTGTTAAGTAAGCCATGTTCTTGAAAATGTCAAAAGTCCCCGGAAATCCCTGCTGTGCTTCAGCCGCCATCTTGGAAAATGGCGGCCAATTTTCACTTTTTTGACAATATTTCCCAAACTATTGGCATTAGAGAATTTTTGTAAATACAAAAGTTAAAGAACGTTTAAAAATACACAATTTTTATATTACAAGGTTTGCTATATCTCTAACGGCTATTGAGATAAATAATAAAAATAGTTTTAAATTTAAAATTCCCATGTTATTCTTATGAAGGAAAAGAAAATTGTTGCAGTTTGCTTATTTATGGGTATATTTTTATCAAACTTGGCAAACTTATTTATTTTATACTAAGCTAATGATATTTAACATAATTACACACTTTATAACCCTTCCAATAGCAGTAAACCTAGTACTTGTTAAATTTAAAGTTATTTAAATAGGGATTCTATCTTTCATTTTTAGGTATTATTTTAATAAAAATCCAGGCAGGCAAATGGAAATTCATTTTTAGACACGATTGTTAATTTTTCCTTATTAGTATTAAAGAGAAATGGAAAATAGGGGCCGATTTTTTTTAATGAATCCTTAATTGTCAACATTATCAAAAATTACCAAGAGCTAAATAATATTCGCTACTGAAAACTGAACAATTAATCAACAGTTTATTGAAAGCTAAAGATGCAGTTGAATCTTCTGGACGACCTGACAAGTCTTTCTTTGCAATGCGCATGAATCTGTGGTAACAGTACTTATGATAACGACATTTTTCTGCCACAAGATCAATTGTATTATTGCTACTCGTAAGTCAACTTCATTTCCCTACTCATCAGAGCGTTGTTTACAAACTGATATAACTTTAGCACGAAATTCAACTGTAGCCACATTACACACGTCCAGACGTCTATTTTTAGGGAATTTTGAATCAGGGACACTAGCTGTCTCTCCACAAAATAAACAGTCACTACGGAAGTTGAATCTCTTAGCTTCTGATCTGAGCACTGCACTTACCTTAGGAGATGATGGTCGTGTATTTTCTTTGTTTTCTGAAACTTAAGTACTCTTTCTTGTGTAGCTTTTACGACAAGTTTTGTGTAATGTTACTTTTCCCAGTGCTTCAAATATTATATGTTTCTCATCCCCTCTATCTAAGCTTGATTGAATTAGATTTTCTATTCCTCGTTCCACGATTACCTGATCTTCTTCAATTTCTACTACACATATTGCGCATTTCATGTTTAATTAAATGACACTGGCATGGTTATATATATCACACAACGTTAACAATGTACACAGAAAAATAATAAAACAACTTCAAATAAACACGAACACACTTAAAAACAGCCTTTCATTCTTATTAAATAACTTCAGAATCTGTAAAACAAACAAACATTCTCAGCTATCATACTTTATTATACTGTCAGCTGACTAACAATGAACAAGTCAAATATTCCTGTTAAAAAAGTGCTGCCAATATCAATAAACAAAATACAAACATTTTTTTCAGTTTTTAGTAGCGAATATTATTTAGCTCTTGGTAATTTTTGATAATGTTGACAATTAAGGATTCATTAAAAAAAATCGGCCACCATTTTCCATTTCTCTTTAATACTAATAAGGAAAAATTAACAATCGTGTCTGAAAATGAATTTCCATTTGCCTGCCTGGATTTTTATTAAAATAATACCTAAAAATGAAAGATAGAATCCCTATTTAAATAACTTTAA